TTTCCCTTCCTTGCGTAGGGCGTCCACAGATCAAACACAGCCAGGAGTCCAGTGGCACCTTAAAGACATTGATTATGGCATACGCTGTCATGCGCTGCAGCTCACTTCCTCGGACGCAGGCAGTGAAAAGATCTGAGGGCAGGGATATAGGTCTATGTCCAGAGACAGGCATGTTACATCAGGGTGAATGAGGCTAATTCAGTCAGGGTGGGTGTGGATAAGCAGGTGAGAATACCTACAGGGCAACATTACTTCTTGTGATGAGAGAGCCATTCCCAGTCTCTGTTCAGACCCAGTCTGATGGTGTCGAATTTGCATATGAATCCCAACTCCGCAGTTTTGCGTGTCAGTCTGGTTTGGAAGTTTTTTTGCATCGTGGCCTCCTCCATGATGTTGTGGGCACCATCCATGTCACCATTTGAATTTGGGTTTCAGAGGGGGAGCCGTGTTAGTCTGAATCTGCAAAAGCGGCAAGGAGTCCTGTGGCACCTTAACCGAAGTGTTGGAGCATACTCTTTCGTGGGCAAAGACCCACTTGGTCAGATGCATTTGAATTTGGGACACTGTGCTATGCCGTGTGTTCTCACCGCGAGGTGAGGGGAGGGGGGGCTGGCGGTTAGGGATGTAAAGGCTTTACCTGGTGATGGTTACCGGGTCAGCAGTTAACCAGCAGCACGGCTGGGCTGGAGCAGCACCCGTACCAGATCCCAGTTAGCTGGTTAAACTTAACATTTAACCAGTTAACTTTTTAAAGGGGATTTTACATCCCTACCGGGGGTTACAGATGAAATAAAAGGCACTTTAAAAGGTAACGTCTTATGTAAGTGCCAGCAAATTAATTATTTGGCGACACTTCAAAGTGATGATAAATCAAAAGGAAAATTAATTCTTTTGCAGACAGCTCCATAATATAGTGCTACAAATCGGGCAGTCCTAGACGAGCTGCCAGCAACTGGCGTCCTAGTAGAACCATGCAATTGGCACCCCCACCTCCAAACCCCTCAATGATATTGTACCACCATTGGGTGCCCCATTTAACTTGGCGCCCTAGGCAGGGCCTGCTACAAATTAGGGCTGTAAAATCCTATTTAATTACTTAACTGGTTATAGTTAACGACAGGCAGGGGCTGCTGCAGCCTCGCTGCTTCCAGCCCTCTGCAAAGCTGCCAACTCCCAGCCTGCACATGCGGGGGGTCGGCAGCCCCATGGGGCTGGTGAACCATTATCTGGTAAGCCTCATCCATGAAGGGTGATGCTTCCCGGGTAACCAGTTAACTGTTCACATCCCTACTACAAATGTAAAGCCGCAGATGCATTTTGATTTCTCACAGGGCTTTTTACATGGAGCACGGCCACACGGCACGGCTCATCGATTTGCGCATCCTCTTGCTTTGAGGTTTCTGTTCAGTCGCTGCTGTTCTTGCCGGGTCCAATATGCCGCTCGGAGTACAGCTAGAAAATATCCTTACACTTAGAACAAGAAGGGGTTTCGTTATGGTGCAGCGCTTTGCACCAGAGGTGGCGCGAGCTGAAGTCCCAGGGTGTCACGGCACCCACAGCTATCGGGTGCCACGTTGTAGTGCCACATTGGTTGGGCCTAGCTGCCCCCACGTGACAGGGCCAAATCTGAGTGAGTGGTATCGGGACCTGGCCCACAAGGCTCCATCACCCCGGTAACCATCAGCAATGGAGTCTGACAGAAAACTGTACACAAGAAACCTGCCGATCAGTTCTCCTCCCTCCACGGCTCCAGCCACGGCCCCCCAACCCAGAAACACCAAGGGATCTGTTAGCTACAGCCAGGCCCTCAGGCACCATGGAACACGTGCTGAGGAGAAAGTCGAGGATACGCAGCTTAACATACTTAAAACGGTCTCCACCAAGCAAGGCCGCTCCACCGGAGGAGTCGAGGGCGTCACCAGCCTCTCAGATACCTCAGAGAACCTGCGTCAATATGGAAGGAAAATAACTGCTGACGCACTCGCCTCTAGTCGTCACCAACCGCCCCACGCTGGAACCCACACCGGGTATCACCAAACAATTACAGCCCCTGCCTGGAAATACATCTCTCCAGAACGCCTCTTCTGGCCTTCAAACCTCCCCCCGCCTGGCCAAGCCATCGTCAGAAACCAGCTCCCCACGGACCAGCACTCACCCACTCCAAATGGCACTGGAAACCTGCAGGCAAATGACAGATGCAAAACGACCAACCTGACGTCTCAGTCCTCGGCCTCAAAGGCTGTGTCTAAACTGCAGGGTTTTTTCGAAAAAAAGTAGCCTTTTTTCGAAAAAAGTCACCTGCGTCTAGACTACAACCGCGTTCTTTCGAAATGAAATCGAAAGAACGCGGCTTTTCTTTCGGTGGCAGTACTCCTCATTTCACGAGGAATAACATCTTTTTTTAAGAGTGCTCTTTCGAAAAAAGGCGCTATGTAATGCAAACCGTGCTTTTTCGAAAGAGAGCATCCAGACTGCCTGGGTGCTCTCTTTCGAAAAAGCAGCTTGCTTTTCCGAAAGTACTGGTTGTAGTCTAGATGCTCTTTTTCAAAAGAAGCTTTTTCGAAAGAGGCTTGCAGTCTAGACGTAGCCAAAGGGAACGTGCACAAGACCTTCTAAAGGGAGCTTCCATTCCAAACTCGGCTGGACGCTGAAAATCAGGCATGCAACAGAGACACAGGTTTGATGTCTCATGGCAGTGGACTGTAACCCACCAACCCTTTTTAGTCTCTAAGGCGATGTCTACACTGCACAAAAACGTCTTGCACAGGAGCACATCCACACCTCAAGGTGCATCGCAAAAGCCATGTGCTTTTGCACAAGAGTCCACACTGCATAGATGCTCTTGTGCAAGAAAGCTCTGATGGCCATCAGAGCACCTGTGCTTTTTCCCATAGGCGCGTCCACACTTGCCTTTTTGCACAATAGCTGTAGCGCAAAAGGGAGTTGTGCCCCGCAGAAGGAGGTTTACCTACACCAGCAAAAGCCCTCTGTTCTGCCATTTTACTGCTGATTTACTTGTGCAAAAGCGTATTGGAGGTGTGGACGCTCTGCAGGTTTTTGTGCAAAACCTGCCATTTTTGCACAAAACCCTTGCAGTGTAGATGCAGTGTAAGGTGCCACAAGACTCTTCTTTTGCCCTGGGACTGCTGAAATGTTAATTGTTGTCTTGAAAGCAAAAATGATTCCGGGAGGCATGAACAGGAGTGTTGTGAGCAAGACACGAGACGTCCTTCTCCCATTCTGCTCTGTGCGGATTAGGCCTCAATTGGAGTATGGTGTGCAATTCTGGGCCCCACATTTCAGGAAAGATGTGGAGAAATTGGAGAAGGTCCAGAGAAGAGCAACACAGATGATGAAAGGTCTAGAGAACATGAGCTAGGAGGCAAGGCTGAAAGAATTGGGTTTTAGTTTGGAAAAGAGAAGACAGAGGGGGGATATGAGAGCAGTTTTCAAGTTCCTAAAAGGGTGTCACAAGGAGGAGGGAGAAAAATTGTTCCCCTTGGCATGTGAGAACAGGACAAGAAGCAAGGGGCTTAAACTGCAGCAAGGGAGGTTTAGGTTGGACATCAGGAAAAACTTCCTGCCTGTCAGGGTGGTCAAACACTGGAATAAATTGCCTGGGGGGTTGTGGAATCTCCATCTCTGGAGATATTTAAGAGCGGGATGGACAGACACCTGTCAGGGATGATCTAGATCAGGGGTGGCTAACCCGAGGCTTGCAAGCCACGTGGCTCCTCTCCCCCAAAAGTGCAGCTCGTGAAGCCGCTCCTGCTCCCCCCCAAATGGCCCCCACTTCCGGTTCCCCTGTGATCACGGGTGGCGATTCAAAATGGCGCCCAAGATGGCAGCCATCGACGGGAAGCTGATATGGCCCAAAAGCCTACGCTTGTTTCTTAAAGGGGCAGCCTCCTATTTTTTTTTTTTGCTTGACAATTTTGTGCGGTTCTTTGCATTTTTTCCGCCACTGTTTCAGCTCTCTTTGTTAAATGGGTTGGCCACCTCGATCTAGATGGTGGTTGGTCCTGCTGTGAGACTAGGGATTGGGACTTGATGACTTCCCAAAGTCCCTTCCAGTTCTAGTGTTCTATGACACTATGAATAGTCTCTTGCAATCCATGTGAACTCCTTACGCTTAATAATTGGTTCCACCTCGTATTTAGCTGTGATGCTTTTGTTACCTTTCCCAGATCTGAGGCAGAGCTCTGTGGAGCTTGAAAGCTTGTGTTCCCCAACAGAAATTTGTCCAGTAAAAGATATTACCCCCCTTGGCTTGTCTCGCTCATACTTAGGGACCAACAGGGCTGCAACCCCCCTGCCAACGGAGATATGTTACATTTTAAAGAGAACATTTTGTTCATCTCATTAGTCTCCTAAATGCTAAAACACAGGTTTCCCTAATACTCCATCGTTTTTAATTCCATGTATGAAATCCAAGAGTAACCATGTTTGCAAATCTACATTTCATACTGGCACCTTATGTTCCGAACAAGTTACACATTTAACATAACTGAATGGGGGCCTCAGTCGGGGAAAGAGAAGTAAAACCACGTTGGCCGTTCTTTTATCCGGAATCGTTTAAATGAGGGGAGAGCTTGCTCCTTTCACACATATATTCAGGACTTAGGGGCAGTTAGATTTGTTAAGTCATGGGTGTTTTGTATGAACCTGTGCTGGAAAAACTGTGTGTGTGTGTGAGATCTAAACCCACAAGCTCACACAGGTAGCTGAGCATGGATCCTGTGTAACAGCCAACTGGTAGATTTGACCCCAGGACCTCTGCAGCTTGAGCTATGAAGCCAGCTGGCTCTCAATGTGGGCTGTAGAGCACCTTTGTTTTTAGCTCAGGCTATACGTGGTCTAAGTGTCACTCCATGGAACAGTGACCCACATTTAGGGTTGCCAGATAGTTTCACAAAGGCCACGCCCCCCCAGCATACCCACTGCCCCTGGAGGGTACCAGGGCAGTCTTAGGGGATATGGTGTCCTGGGTGATCTTGTATTTTGGCCTCCAGCCCCGACTGGCTCCCTGGGCTCCCCTCCCACTCCTGGGCCTATGCTGCAGATGCCCCCCTGGCTGGTCCCTCATGCCTTCCTTTGCCCCAGGACGCAGACCCCTCTGAAGTTTACCGGCCGGACGCAGGGGCTGAGCGTGGCAAGCCGAAAACAGACTACAGGAACTACACGGTGAGGGCCCATCGCCCAGCGCGCGCTGTCTGGGACCTGCCCTGCATGGGGCATTAGCCCCCGTCTCGGCAGGCTGGCCCCGGTGCGAGGAGCGTAGGCTGGATTCAAGCCTCGGTGGGGGGGGACGCTGTGGAACCATGCTCAGGGAGTGACCAGGGCTAGCGTAGACAGGGGGCCCCTATGGCCAGCGCTCCTGCCCCATGCCTCACAGCACCCCCTGCTGGGGAAAACCAGGACTGGAATAGCCCGGAGCTCCTCCCCCAGCCAGTGCTCCCACCGCCCCACCACACAGCGCCCCCTGTTGGGAGAGGCTGGGACTGAAATAGCTGGGAGCCCCTCCCAAACCAGTGCTCCCAGACCACAGCGCCCCCTGCTGGGAGAGGCTGGGACTGAAATGGCTGGGAGCTCCCTATGGCCTGCACTCCTGCCCTATGCCCTAAAGTGGCCCCTGGTGGGCGAGGCTGGAACTGGAAAAGCTGGGAGCGCTTCCCACCACCAACACTTCTACCACCTTCCCACAGCGCCCCCTGCTGGGAGAGGCTGGGCCTGGAGTAGCTGGGAGCTGCCCCCACTGCCAGCACTTTGCCTTGCTCCCGGGGCCAGAGCCCCATAGCTAGCCCTTTGGAGAGGCTGGCCCTGCAGTGGCAGGCCTGGGCTCTTGTCTGATTCAGGGGTGTGTTGTTCCAGACTGGGCCACTGCTGGAGCGCGTGTACAACACCTACCTGCTCATGCACACGCACCAGACCGTGGACTTTGTCCGGAGGAAGGTACGTCCCCTGGCGTCTCACTGATCTGCCCCTGGGCCCCCCAGCACTGCAGATCCTGCCCCCCGAGACGCTGTAGGCACCCCTTCCTATGAATCCCAGCAGCTGGGTGTCTAGGAAAGAGCTAGCTACAGCCTGGCTCCCCGGGACCCCCAGCCCACGGGAGCCCCCTCGCGCCCCACCCCAGCAGAGACGCCCTTTGGGAATGCTGCTCCCGGACCGTCCCCGGGACCCCCAGCCCACGGGAGCCCCCTCGTGCCCACCCCAGCTGAGACGCCCTTTGGGAATGCTGCTCCCGGACCGTCCCCGGGACCCCCAGCCCACGGGAGCCCCCTCGTGCCCACCCCAGCTGAGACGCCCTTTGGGAATGCTGCTCCCGGACCGTCCCCGGGACCCCCAGCCCACGGGAGCCCCCTCGTGCCCACCCCAGCTGAGACGCCCTTTGGGAATGCTGCTCCCGGACCGTCCCCGGGACCCCCAGCCCACGGGAGCCCCCTCGTGCCCACCCCAGCTGAGACGCCCTTTGGGAATGCTGCTCCCGGACCGTCCCCGGGACCCCCAGCCCACGGGAGCCCCCTCGTGCCCACCCCAGCTGAGACGCCCTTTGGGAATGCTGCTCCCGGACCGTCCCCGGGACCCCCAGCCCACGGGAGCCCCCTCGTGCCCACCCCAGCTGAGACGCCCTTTGGGAATGCTGCTCCCGGACCGTCCCCGGGACCCCCAGCCCACGGGAGCCCCCTCGTGCCCACCCCAGCTGAGACGCCCTTTGGGAATGCTGCTCCCGGACCGTCCCCGGGACCCCCAGCCCACGGGAGCCCCCTCGTGCCCACCCCAGCTGAGACGCCCTTTGGGAATGCTGCTCCCGGACCGTCCCCGGGACCCCCAGCCCACGGGAGCCCCCTCGTGCCCACCCCAGCTGAGACGCCCTTTGGGAATGCTGCTCCCGGACCGTCCCCGGGATGCCCCACCCCAGGGGAGACGCCCTTCAGGAACGCTGCTCCCCGGACCGTCCCCGGGACCCCCAGCCCACGGGAGCCCCCTCATGCCCCACCCCAGGGGAGACGCCCTTCAGGAACGCTGCTCCCCAGACAGTCCCTGGGAACGCCAGCCAAGGGAGTGGAGCTGTTGCAGCCAATTCCCTGCCCTGATTCTGGTCCTGGGAGCTGGCAGCAACCCCTGTGCCCAGTGACGGCTCACCAGCCCCCCTCTTCCCAGAGCGCAGAGTACGGGGCCTGTGCCCAGCGCAGACTGAGCATCATGGAGGCCTTGGATTTACTGGATAACGTGGTGGATGAATCAGACCCGGACGTGGACTTTCCCAACTCCTACCACGCGTACCAGACCGCCGAGGGCATCCGGCAAGCCCACCCGGACAAAGGTAAGGCCAGCCTCACGTAGGCAGGGGCTGGGTGCAGGATCCCAAGCAAGGGTCCCTCTAATTTTTCCTGTGTACAGAATACATTTTGTTCTGTGCACCTGACCTGGGCAGATGTGCACCACCACTAGGAACACATGCTGCCGGTGGGGGGCGCTCTGCAAAGGGAGGCCCCCGAATCTCTCACGCGCTCAGCTGGCAGGGAACTCTGAGCCCAGGTGGGTCTCCGCAGAGCCGGGTGATCCCAAGCAAGGGTCCCTCTAATTTTTCCTGTGTACAGAATACATTTTGTTCTGTGCACCTGACCTGGGCAGATGTGCACCACCACTAGGAACACATGCTGCCGGTGGGGGGCGCTCTGCAAAGGGAGGCCCCCGAATCTCTCACGCGCTCAGCTGGCAGGGAACTCTGAGCCCAGGTGGGTCTCCGCAGAGCCGGGTGGGTAGGGGACCCGCGGGCATCAGCCAGGAAGGGGGGCGCCAGGGCAGGGCCGTGCCCAAAAAGGCTGCTTGCTCGCAGGCCCCATGCCGGACACAGCCCTTCGTCCTCGTCCCCAGCTGTGTTTGCAGGAAGGCGGGTGCCCCGCGGAGAGGCCAAGCACCGATTCAGGGCGGGTCTGTGAGACCCAGGCAAGCCGGAGCTGGTGCCGCTAGCGCCCACAGGCCTCTGGCAACGCGAGGCGACGGGTGGCCTCACGCTGATCTCGCGCTACCCCTGGGGGGGGCCGATCACGCCCCCCAGCTGCCAGCTGGGCAAAGCCAGGGCATCAGGTCAGGGTCAGGGGCCTCAACCC